CACCCTAAGGCTCGGGAAGGTCCTATAGGAATCCATTTTGGGTTTCCTCATGTCGGTTTCATCCTTCTAAGTGTTAGAAGTCGATACCGCACACGCGAAACTCCAAAAGAGGACGGAAATAGGTCGAACTAAAACGAGACGGGCACCACTTCTAAGGTTCTAAGATAGTCGCAGGAAGACCCCTAAGGCTAGATCCTAACTCCTACGAGGAATACTAGACCTCACGAAAATTGAGGTCAACAAGGACATAGCAGGAACACCGAGACAAGATGTCAGTGCGGTCGTGTACAAAGATGACCTAAGCTCTATTTGTCATTAGCAGATGATGAATTCACCAAAAAAAAGTTGTTTAAAGTAATTTTAAACTTCTAATAGAAATATTTTAGATTTGTATTACTTCAAACCAAACAACAAAAATTCAAAACTCATGTTTTTCAAATTATAGTACACTCCCAATACCTCAAAACAAACAACCCTTAAACAAATTTGGAATTACTTGTTTGAGGGAGTCGCTAGTCATTTTAGGAGAGAAAAAATTACCCCAACTAAGGATAACTATATTTGGCCAAGTCTAAAAAGCAATGTAACAAGATAATTTTATTATTTAGGACTTGCAAATTCACAAAGAAGAAAAATATAATACAAAATTACATGCATGTTACCAAATCTATAAGAGGATGTTAGTATGTATTTAAATTAGATTTATCATTGATAATGAGGAAGCATGATTTGAATTTTGTAGTGATAAATCAATTTTTAAAAAAGGCCTATTTCATACTATGATATAAATTATAGATGCATCTCATATTGTTAATTATACTTCAATAAAGTTGTTAAATTACATGATTAACATTCATGAATTATTTCTAGAAAATTCTTAGAAAGAAATGGGAATACAAGCTAAAATTTCAAATGCATCTCACCCACAAGCTTAAAGACAAATTGAAGTAATTAATATAAGTAAGATTTGATAAAATATCACCTCAGAGTGAGATTTAATATTGCCCATGTCAAATTTGCTATGCAATTCATTTACCAATGTATTTTGGTTGTCCATTAAAATTGTCACAAGTTATCATCCTAAAAGTCCTATTAATTTTATTAAAATTTCTAGAAAAACTAAATATAATTAATCAGCACAATCATTCAAACAACATATGCATGATTTGCATGAAGATAGTCATAACAAATTAGTTATTAATTAGGTTAATTACAAGCTTTCTTCTAATGTGAATAAGATGTACATGAAATTTATACTTTGCAACAAAGACAAAGTCTTCAACTCTAAAAAGACATCCATCAAGAACCATTATGATTTTTTTTGTTGTTTCGATATCTATATGAATGGCTAACAACCATTAAGGTATTGAATGTAAGAAATGTATGACCATTTAAGAAGTTATAACATATCAAAAATAATATTTACTGTATTAAAATTACAAGAATAACTAGTATATTCAACTTTCAATGTATCTAATTTGATCTTATTTCATGAGTCAATTGTAGATTGTTTGAATTTTGCACTTTCTTCATTTTATTTTGAAAGTCCACTATTATATAATTTTATGCAAATTTCCCTTGGCCATTTTAGATGATGAAATTGCATCCACCGTTGATGCTAGCTTGTTTATTAGTACCTTAAATTTGTTTCTGATAATTCATAGATTCCTTTGCAGGAAACACAATTTTTGTCCTACTTTGTTTGATAAGTATCAAGTACTTAAAAAAAATATCGAGTAATTAGGCAGATTTGGTGGACATATATGTTCTCATTTTTTTCAAGGATAATCACAGCAAGCACTGATCTAATCAAAGATAATGGTTTACATATCATTAACAGTTTAATTTATTCTTTTGAAATCAATAATCACGAAATTTTCAGCAGTAAAGGAATGATCAAGAAAGAGATCTACACAATAAATATCTCTAATAAATAGCAGTGGAGTTTTGAAAGACATATGTTTACATATCATTGGCAGATTTTTTTTTTATTTTTATTTTTTTTGAAATCAATAATCACTACATTTTCAACTGGACAAAAGAACAAGAAAGAAATCTACACAATAAAGATATAGTGGCACTTAATAATTTAATTCTATGAGTCCATGTAAATCCATCTATTAGTATATTGAGCTCAAATTAGACATCCGAAACCTTCCTAATTGAAGGTAAACTTTAAAGTGACAACATATTTACTAATTTGAAAATGTAAACCGAGACAAGATATCTGTGAAGATGTAACCCAAGGCAAGATATCCAAGAAAGAAACAACAAATGACATTCCTGAACATTAGAATTTCTCATTACAAGTTACCCGAACATGACAGAAATAATTTCTCTTATATACTATCAGCTAATTCATACTAAAATAAATGCTAAACTATTATGTGTAACTTACTAAAATAATGATTTAAGAATCCAATCAAAGATTTCTAAAAAAAGCATACCTCCAACTCCAAAATATCAAAAGAAAAGCTTCCCAGAAGCTAGCGCTTGCATTTTTCACAGTAGTGATTGACTTTCATTTCTGATGCGCAACCATAGCAAAAGGTAAAATGACACCTTAGAAGAATCAAATAAATCAATATATTAGTTTTTAATTTGAGATCATCAAATAAATATAAAAAGACCATAAAACAACATTACATACTTTAGCCAATTAACAAACAATTATTTCTATAAACAAGTATAACAACAAAAAAAAATCTTAAACGGTCACCTAAAGAGATTGGTTATAGGGTTCATTTGCAAGAGAACAGATAGGCAGACATTGGAAACAACATGGAGTAACCATTGCATGACTGACCCAGCCTAGCCATAGCCTATAGCTCACCTTATGGCAATCCTAGTGAGATGCAACACTTTCTTGGACCTAGTTGGGCCAAAACATTAAATGGGTCACATCTAAATCAATTCCTATGAAAAAGAAATCCAACCTTAGAAAAGGTTGAATTGGCTCAACCCATGAGTCAATTAGACATGAACACAATCCTAGTAATCCTACCAAGACAATGGACCCACTCACTTGGCTAGGTGGTGTCGATTAAAGCATCATTTGGCCTAGGTCAATGTGGGGTTGACTATGGACCCAATTAACCCTGGCCCTTTGACCTCTTTGACCAAATCAAACCCCATTGAGCCCAAATCAACCTAAGCCCTAGCCTAGTTGACTCAAGGCCCTAGTACTTCACCCTAAATTACTTCTAAAATATATAAATTAGTGAGAAAAAATCACAAAAAAAAATTTAAAATGCTATGAACTAGTAAATACAGAGAGCTCGAATAAAATATCCTAAATTAGTTCTAAACTGTATGGATTAGGTTTTTATTATTTTCTAAAAATTAGATTAATTCTCAAAATTTAGTATTATTAAAAAATTCCCAAGTATCTTAGGCTTTGTTAATTAAATTTGACGTTAAGTATAGATCTCAAGTCACTTAGATGCTAAAGATATTAATTTGACTTTGGTCTCCCCTAGGCATAATTGAACAAATAACCCTACAAAATACTGCAGCATGTGTTTTGCAACATGCCTATTGCTTGATGAAGTTTGGGTCCTCTGCATATTGTTTCTAGAGAGATTCAAATCCAATGATAGAAATTTAAACAGCAACAACATGGTTGGCCTACCTTTGGGGGTGTTTCCCCCATGGTTGGAACGATCTTACTTTTTATTGAGGATAAACCTAAACTTTTGAAAAAAATATCACCCTGAAGACAACCATGTGACTTAAGAAGTAATTGATGGTAACTAAATAGCACAAAATTTTGTTGTAAAAGATAGTGTTCCCACCTCTTTAACCAACAAATAATCGCATAGAATTTTTGCTCATAAGTACATCATCATTGTATCGTAGAGTGGAGCTTTTAACAAAAATACTTGATTAGCTTGCTTTCCTGGGATGACACGAAGCCAAAAACCTTAGTAGTCATCTCAATTTCAACTTGAAAATGGTTTCTTAAAGTCAAGGATTACAAAAACTGATGTGGAATATAATGCACTTTGAAAGAATTGAAACTCTATCATTGGTCATGTCTCCATCAAAATGATTTTATTGCAGAAATTTCTATGAAACACACTAGCCTTAGGGTTATAGTTGATCTGAAATTTTGCCTTTAGGCAAAATTAACAAAAAGAGAATAAATGGAGTTCTTCTAGAGTTTTTCTTGAATTATTTCTTTCAAACCTCCAATGCAACTCCAATTGATTAGTCTTGTTGAGATTGCTATGGCAACTATAATGATGAAATTCTTCTATGTCAATGGTTACTTCTTAAGAACACCTACAAAATTGTAAAAGATTGCTCATAATCTAAAGGAAGTGTCATTGGAAAGGTTTCCTCATCTGTTGTTTTTAGCATATTTTTTATCTTCCCATTGATGCGATATATTTAATTGAATCCACCAAACATTTGTGCCTCCTTTTAGTTCATAGGAATGTTGCTTCTCCAAAATAAATTTCCATATACTCGAAGAATGATTCAATGGCATGCCCATAAAAGAAGGGAATACCTTAAAATTGTATTGATTCTGCTCTTAAGAATAACGTCTCCTGGATGCTGCTCCAATTTTAGTTGTTTACAAATTGAATCAAAGTGAAATTGAGTTTTTATATCGATGAAATATTCATTCTTGGTCAAAGACAAAAAAATAGTTGATGAGCTGGTCGATCATCTCTTAGAAGGCGATGTGAATCATGATTTATCAAAGCACCACTGGTGCAATTGATGGAGTTTGAATACCACTACTCTAAAAGATAGGAAGTTCCCAACGCATCTCAGTAATAAGAAGTTCAAAATCATTCACCAATGAATCTATTCATCATTGATGGAGAGCAGACAAAGTTCGTGCATGGAGTCCTAATTGCAGTCATCGTCATGAGACAAGTTCTTGTCATCATTCACCATTAGTGTAATTGACCAGAACAATAGGAGGAAAAGAAGGAATATTTTAGTTTTAATTCATTAACTAAATGTTTTATTTATAAAAGAACAAGTAACCAACAAAGTATGAAGTAATACTATTAAACTGATATTAAGCTGAATAATAAAAGCAAACAAACAAACAAAAGAGTATAACAATTGTTAATTAAACTAATCCAGCCGGTAAAATGGCCAGTGGGCGGATGAGTTATGTGAGCTGCATCATATACCACACAAATCATTAATGCTACCAATATACCATCCTATTCTGTAAACCCTTAAAAAGATTCAACATTTGCTCGTTTGTGATAAAATAAAAAGAATATCATTTTAATTATTATTAGATCATAAAAAATAAGATAGTGTTTATTAAATTAGCAAATCTATACATCCTTGTTCAAGTCCAACCGGGTAGTATGTCAAAAATCAAACAAACGCATTCGTAAAATCAGGTCTAGCAAAGACAATCAACCAAAGCTTCTCAGCCAAACAAAAAAGTTTCAAGAAACTAAAACGAATTACATGGATTGCAAAAATACAATTCAGCCAAACAGCATCAAGCTACAAAGCAAAGCTTTGAAAGACGATAGTACCTGCACGAAATGAACGCGCATCCATCAATCTTCTCCACAAAGAACTTGCACTTCGGGCATCTCTGCCATTTGCTTTTCTTGGCCAGCTTCATAAGCATCAAATCCTCACTCTTCCTCTCATCCTTCCCCAGTTCCTGAAACTCGCTACAACTGAACCCCAAATGCCAAGGTACCTTGCACTGAGCACAAAAGAGTCTATTGCAATGCGGACACTCCGCATCGGTTATCACCTTTTCCATATCATTCATCATAAGCGCCGAACAATCCTTGAACGGGCAATAAAATTTATCATCTACCATTGACTCGCACAATGCCTTGCACCAAAAATCAAATACTCCTTCGTCAAGTATCAGCGAGCACATCGCTGGCTCAAGCTTGCCATTCATGCAATTTGGATCCGGGCACTTGATGAAAAACACGTTTTCCTCAACCTTTGCCGCTACATACTGGCTGACGCAGTTCTTGCAGTATGTATGAGAGCAGCCTTCAATGGCGAATAGCTCGTGCGCGTATTTAGACTCCGTACATATTTCACAATTATAGTTGGGCTCCAGAAGTACAGGACTGGAGGAAACCCCAAACTCCATTTCCAACTTCTCTTGCTGCGTGGTGCCGGAAGATTCCCCGATTTCGATGTTAGGCTTGCCGACCCATGGATCTCCCATTAATGGCATCTTGAAAGAGCGGGATCTCTTCGTGTAAGGCCTACGAAAACTGGATACCCAAGCTGAATGGGGTCCGTCTCGCTCGACGACGATGGGGTTTTTACGGCTGCTCCCTCTGCTTATTTCTATCATTCCGAGAAACTCGACCTCGTCATCGATCTCAATGGGGTCCTTAAAGCCGCTACCTCTGCAGGGGTTTTCGTCGGGGACTATAATAATTTCCCGAGCAGGACTGCGAACGTCCATGGGGAAACCACTTCTTTTGATTTCTACTTCCCAGGCGCTTCTCGCGTGGAGGGGAAAGCACAGTGAAATGAGTAAAAATTTAAACTTCGACTTGGAAATTTGCGTTTGGGAATGCGCAGATTGGAAAGATTACGAGCAGACGGAGAAGATCAAGAAATCGGATCCCTATTAATTTTATATATTTGAAAATATTTTTACTGACCTTTCATTTCCTACTTTCGGAAGCCGTTGAGTTGCCAGAAAAATCTCGATCTGAGCGATTCAGAATAAGCGGTGTGTTTAAAATCGCACTAATCTTCCCCGTTGGACCGTTGATGGAGCGAAATTCTTGAATTTGTTAGCCAAGTTATTCAACTTGAATAAGGAGCCGTTTGGGGCGGCAATAAAATCACGTTTCGCGATTTGATAGCACGGTCTGATTTTTAGTAGCGGCGTCCTTGTATTTTGGAATACTCTAACTCGTTTAACAAAATTTAAGGATAGCAGCCTCGTGGCCAGCATTCCTTCGTAGTATATTACTGTTGAACCTCTCAATCGCTCTCTCCATCGTGCATCGTTCCCCTAACTATTTGATCGAACTCTCTCACCCACCTCTCTGTTGTTTGTCCTTCTCTCCCTTCTCACTCGGTGCTTCGGTTACCATGTAAGCGCTCGTTCTCCCTCACATGTGCCTCTCTCACCTGCCCTTCTCCTCTCCCTTCTCATTTGTTGGTCCAGTTTTTGTAAGTGAATGTGTTTTGTTCATCTGTGTACTCCAATAGTTGTTGATGGATTCGTTGCTTATCTCATGCAATTTTTACCTCTCTTTGTTGGAATTTTTGTGAGATTTATTTCTTCATGCAAGATATTTGGAATTTTTCATGAGGTTTTTGGCGCTCTGGTTCACAGACCAACCAAAGAAGATTTTTTTTTACTGGTCTGTTTGAATTGCTGTTTTTTTTATTATGGTGGTTGTACTTGTGATTCTTGTTATGGTGTTGAGGTTGGTGCTAGTGTTGTGGGGTTTTAGTGTTGGTGATTGTGTGGTTTGTTGGTGAGCCAATGAAGGTTTCTTTAGGCTAGTCTGCTGGAATTGTTGCTTTCTTTTATTATTGTGATTGAATTTGTGACACTTGAATACTTGGAATTAGCGATGGTGACTGTGTGATTCATTGGTGATGGTTTTTTTAGGTTGGTTTGTTGGAATTGATGTTTTCTTTTGTTATTGTTGTTGGATTTGTGACACTTGAATACTTGGAATTTATATGGTGTTGAGGTTGATTCATTGGTGATGGTTTTTTTAGGTTGGTTTGTTGGAATTGATGTTTTCTTTTGTTATTGTTGTTGGATTTGTGACACTTGAATACTTGGAATTTATATGGTGTTGAGGTTGGTGCTGGTGTTGTGGGGTGTTGTAGTTGGTGCTATTGTGGCTCTCTCTACTGTATGGTGTTGTTGTTGGTGCTAATGCGGCTGCCTCTACTGTAGAGTGTTATTGTTGGTGTTGGTATAGCTCTCTCCATTATAGTGTGGCTCTCTCTACTGTAGGGTGTTTGTGTTGGTGGTTGGGTATTGGTGATGGTAGTTGGGCTTGGGTGTGTCTGTCTCTCACTACTGATTCGTGTTGGTGTTGTTGGTTGGGGGTTGGTGATGTTGATTTGACTTGTGTGTGTCTGTCGCTCTCTCTCTCTCTACTAATTAGTGTTGGTGTTGGTGATTGGGTGTTAGTGTTGGTGATTGCGTGTTGGTGATGGTGGTTTGACTTGGTTGTGTGTCTCTCTCTATTGTTGGGTGTTGGTGCTAATGGTTGGGTGTTGGTGATGGTGGTTTGACTTGGGTGTGTGTGTCTCTCAGTACTTTTGAGTAATGGTGGTTTATTATTGTTTCTTCAAAATTTTGTTTTCGTGTTTCAGTTTGATTTTTTTTTTTATTTTAGAAGTTTGTTTCTCTTAACACTTTATTTTTTATCGTGTTCTTTGTTCTGCTTTCATTATAAGTATCACTCTTTATATGTTTTGTTTATTAGTTTAAATATGGTTAAGAGCAAAGAAGTAGCTTCACAAGCAATGTGGGATAAGGAGGTCACATACATATTTTGTAACCCATGTATTAAAGAGATTGAGTATAGAAATAGAACAACCATGTATTTTAACATAAAAGGGTGGCAGAATATTAAGAGGTTCAAAGAACAGATAGGAAGGGAGTATAATAGACTGAAATTCAAGAACAAGTGAGATCAATTAAAAAATGACTAGAAGTTATGGAAGGAACTTAAACAGGGATCTATGAGATTGGGTTGGGATTTTATCAAACGGACCATTGATTCTTCAGAGGAATGGCAGAATGAGAAGTTACAGGTATTACATATACCTCAAAATGCTTGTATTTTTGTTCTTCATCCATGTTCTTCCATTTTTACTAATATGCTTCCTTGAACGTTGCAAGTAGTCTCAGTCGCAAAAAAATTCAAGGTGAGTGGCTTTGAGCCAGACTTGGAAAATAAGTTGGACTTAATGGTTTGGGGCGGTTATCTCGATGGGTCTGCATTCGTTGAACCAAAGTGAGCAAGGGTTTGTATGCATACTAGATGAATTGGTAGTCGAGCAGGTTACTGGCGAGTCCAAATGCCAATCAAAGTGCCCAGGGTGAAGAAAAAGAAAAATAAAAAAAGACGCTTTCGTCAAAAGCTCAACAGATAAGCTAATAGAAGTATGTGTAGCTCAGCCTGGTCCTTCAACTGACACAACTATAGATGGCTTTCTTAGAGTTTTAGATACTCATTCTGAAGTTTTGCTGATACGACGTTTTATATAAACTCCATCAAGTTACTTGAGTACCTCACCTGCAGGCAAATATTCATGAAGTTTCGCCCCGAGTTTCATTTCCAATATATACATTCGTTTATGGAAAAATTATTATGTGATGTCACTGTTTGTTGGCTTGGTTTTTTCTTTTATATTTTTTTTATTCGAATCCTTTTTCTTTCTTTTTTGATCGATAATATGTCGTCATGTAGTTATTTCTGATCTGAAGCAGTTACTATTCAGTTTTTTATGTTTTTTTTTTCTTAAAGTTGTGTGATCATTGCTATTACTTTACCTGAACTCTTTTGGAAAATGGATTAGCAGCGACTTCGCAGGAAGAGAATTGTTGTGGCGATTAAAATAATTTTTTACAAGTTTTACCACTCGATCATTGAGCAAAATCCATGCATGACATCGTTTTTCATTGGTGATAAATGGGGCTGTGAGATGCCAGCAGAACATCCCACAAGGTTCAATAATATATTCCGCATGTCAGCACCCATTTTTTTAGATCTTTTCCATGAACTTCATAGCAACCATGGGCTCCACAGTTTCTCCAAAATGACGACAAGAGAGGTGTTAGCAATAACACTCTACATTCTATCATAGAATGAATCAATGAGAGGAGCGATGGAGCGTTTCTAGCATTCATATGAGACAAATAGTTGGTATTTCTCCATGGGGCTGAGATCACTAGTCAGTTTAGTAGCACAATATTGATCTCATTTTTGGTTGAGGTCTAGTGTTCCTCTTTAGTAGGCTAAGGTCTAGCCATAGGACTTACTGTTGACTATTCCTAGAAAACTAGAAAATGAACCCTCACCATTAGAAATTCTAAACTCTTCTTTACTCAACTTGAAGTTCCACATATTGGTCCTAACCTCTAGCACTTAGTAGGTGGGCTCATTATGGGGGAGCTCAAGGAGAGTTCCCTTAAGACTATTTGACCTTAGGGTTAACCTTGAGTGCTGATTTAGCTAAGGCACTCAAAGCCCACACTCACACTCACTCACAACCTTAAATCCTAAATTTCTAACCTTAGTCCCTTGAGCCTTTGGGAGACTCATACAGGTGGTCCTCTAAACCTACTAGCCCTAGGCTAAGGTTTAGCTAAGACCAGTACATAGAGGACCCAAATGGGGTTTCCATTAGCCCATGGCTCATTTATGGTGGTTAACTCCCCAATTCTACCAAAAATACCCAGCTTAAAAATTCAAAAAAATCCCAAAATATTCCAAATATTCTTAATTTCATTTTTCTCAACTACCACATAACCCAATTTGGCCAATTTGAATATCTTTGACCAAGATCCCCAAAATTACCTGTAAAGGCCCAAATTTTCCTAAAGTCAACTCAAATGTCCATCAATTTGACCCCAATCTCTCCCAATTTCAATCCTAAACTCAAATAACCCTTCATATGACCAAAATAAACCAAATAAAAGCCTAATTGGCCCACGCTTTCAGCCCAATTTTGATTTGAGCCAAACCCCCAATTTTGGTCACATAACCTAATCTCATCAATTTGAACCCATAGCCCACTCAATTGGCCACAATTTATGTTGAAACCTCTTTATAAAATTCCTAAACATCAAACTTGACCATAAATTAGTCTTGATGAAGCCTCAATTCCATTTAATTTTGACCCAAATCCAAAAAAGCCCCGAATTTTGCCCCAAATTGACTTTGTCCCCAAATTTCACCAAATTGATTGCAAATTGCACCCAATTTATGTTGAAAACTCTTCATGAGGTTCCTATTGACCATTTTCAACAATCAATTTGGACTTAGCCCGAGGATAACCCAATCTGGACCAAAGTCTAGCCCAACATGCCCAAATTAACCAAATCTCCAAAACCCTTCAAATTGACCCTCCAATTGAACTCAAAACCATTTCCATCCTTCACCAAAATTGTTCCTTACAATCACCTACGCCAAACTCAACACTTAATTGGGCCAATTAAAATGGCTAGCCTAGCCCAAACCCAAGTTTTGGTCATTTTCACTCACTTGGACCCTTTCACCAAAAATTGACTTAACCATGTCTAAGCCACCAAAGTAATGATTTCACAGCCACCAAAACCTTCCTAAAGGCTGACACCTAAGGCTGAGCCAAAACACCTCTAACCACTGAAACTAATCTATGGACCAATGGACCCCCAAATTAAGGGATTTTAACCATTTTTGGACCTAACTTGAAATATTTCCTACATCATCACTTACCCTTGGAAGATAATCATCATTAGTCACCCCCCCCCGACTTCCCTGAGCAAAGAGGTGACCAATGCCTGGCCGGCCGACCACCTTGGTGGCTGGAAAATGGCCAAAACCATCGCCAAGACAAGAGATTTTCACCCAATTCAAACCCAAAGGCCAAATCAGCCCAGCTGCTCATTGGAGCTTCTCTGCCCTCCACATAAGCAACCAAATGCACCCCTTAATTAGTCGTGGTAGCCAGCCTATACCATTTTATTTAAACTCCCCCTCCATGGCCAAAAAGAGAGAGCTTGAAATTCCTTGGGGAGACTCTGTAAAATTTCTTCTAGAGCTTCCTTGAGCCCTTTTGAGCTTAAGAAAACCTTCCCTAGCCACTCAAATTCATTGCTCGAGTTCAATTTTGGAGCTCGATTTCAAGGTCGAAATAGGACATCCTCCAAACCTCCACCAAG